CCACCAAGCACGTTTGGCGAATGGCTAATTTGAGAACCCCAGCCGCCGCTCACTGCCTCTTTAAACGAAGACAACATTTGCAACCGTGGGAGTTATGCTTTCTCATCTAAAACCCTTCGTCACCGTTGGAAAGTAGGAAATTACTTCGTTTCGGGGTACATACATCCGGATTATGATCAGAGAAGCATTCTTAGGTAAGTTTCTGAACGAATAATCTGGTCTCTCTCACTACACGTGAGCTGTCGTGAAAGTTATAGTACGTAGGTACGTGTGTGCAGAGATGGATGTCTGGATTTTGATGATTAAATAACTTGTTCTCCCCATTGTCTATGAGATTGCGACTATTTGACAAAGACATAGGCTGTGACCTTGAAGAGATAGCCTGTGACCTTGAGTCAAGGTCACAGCCTACCTCTGTGTCAATTGTTCACAATCGGCATATTCCGGGCAATAAACCTCCATCATAAAAAACTACTGTACAATATGCAGGCCCGTAGGCTGGGGGGGGAGGGTTGGGCCCCGCTCGCTTTCAAGGTCCGCTCGTTGGTGTGTGTGTTTTTTTTTTTTATAAAAATGTGACTTTAATATAGGGGCCTACTACAATTTTCTGAATGTAATCCGCGGTTTATACATTGATTTTCACGCGCAAAATATCTCTACGGTTTATAATGAAATGCAGGTGGTTTATACGGCAACTTTTAAAGAATGACATCAGTTACTAAACCCCGCTCCATGCCTGCAGCGCAGCAGAACCCGGACCGACGCCGTGGTCGGCCAGCTACGCGTACCACCGGCGCGGCGCAGCGTTCCGGACGCGGGGACAAGGCAGTTTTCATTGGTTGTCGTTTACATTGGCTCTGCTCACGTGTTGAAAATGAAGGAAACCAGTCCAGAAAGACTTGTAATGTATGCCCTGTAAGTACCGTTTGCACCTCAAACATTGTGTGGTACACCTGTTGGTTTTTGTCTTTTACGGTTGTGTAATCCATGTTGTTTATCATTCTAATGGTCTTAAAAGGAACAGCTGCATGGCCCACCCAGCAAGGACTCAGGACACTAATCTAGCCCACTAAAATTGATATTTTTGAGGATTCGAGAAAGTTTAGGCGTAATGAAAACACTCGTTCGTGCGCTGCTTCACGTTACGATTGACGAATGCGCACCGGAAAGTGGCGTGGACCCAATGGGCACTTCGACATTTCACTTCTAACGTTTGTGTATGGAGCAACATTTTATCTCCAATTTCACAAAAGGTGAAATTTAATCAATCTCCAAATATTTTTATTCATAAATGTCGATTTCATATACCCGCTACAAAGTTCCAATGACATGTTAATTTGGTCCGATTTCTTTTCCGCAGTGCAAAATGAAATGCGCCTTAAAATATTCTTTTCACCATTTTTAGTTTAATAGGTGAGTGGAGGTATTAATGATTTACTAGAATTTATCAGTTTTTTAGAACTTCCCATTTTTTGATGGGATTTTCTGAGATTGTTTTAACAATAATGTTCATATCATCCGCTCGCCGTCACCCCGCGCCCGATTCCAAGTGCAGGGTGAAGAGCCAATTCATTACCAGGCCAATTTACAATCCGCCGTGAATATTGAAAACTGAAGTAGGGGGCCTTTACGATTCTGACATGCATCCTTTGGTTTGCGACAAACATGGAACTTGTTTGAGGTTGTGCTCCAAAGGACATTATGATGGGCCTTTGTATAAAAATATGTGTTCACAGTGCCAAAAGTTCCACTTTTGGGTTTGACGACCCCCCCCAGTCTCTGGTCTTGCAACGGGCCTGATATGGGCCTACGGTATCGTTGTGATCGTTATGCCAGTTTGTAATCACAGTGAGATAATTAACACCGAAACCAAACACGCACTGAAGGTATCAGTATGTTTTAAAGACATCTCTGAAAAACGTGTGTCCTGATAAATGGTGTTGATTATCATTTTCATTGATGTACATGGCACATGACATCAGTCTAAATTAAAACCATCGCCCAGTAAGTTAACAGAGTTTATTCAGTTTGTACCTGACTGTCCATGTTTTGTTAGAGTGATAAGTAAATGACCCTGCTTTGTGCATGCAGGACTCGCCCTGCTGATTATATGCTAGCGAGCCCGATCGTGTCATTTTGAAAAGTAAAGAGGCAAAACCGTGAATTGAAATCGAAATTAAAGACAGTTCAAGGCATTTGCTCGATTATTGACACAAGATGGGCCTTTGGGATCAGAGCGCATCACACCCCACTGCCTACCCAATGTTCCATACACTGCATGGTCTTTCCCTTGACAATAAGGCTCCATGTACGGCTCCAACCGCCGCACATCTCATGGCAACTAATTTCCATAGCGACGCGTCACATTGCCCAGGCAACTGTACACATTGCCCAGACGTGACAAAAGACAATTAGCCCGATTCAAAGTGCGTGGTATGCCAGCATTTTTTTTAACTATAGCGCAAAAAGGCCAGGAGTGATAGCAACTGACTAAAAAGAATAATCACGAGTTTGTGATTGGTAGCACTGGTGCTTATGCATGGTACTCATCTCATGAAAGCTTCGGTCATGCTTACGGTAGATGGGACATTGGTTGTAAATTCATAAAAAAATCAAGTAGAGGAATAACTCTGTGCACTCTTTGGATGTTGTATACGTTTACTAAAAACATGCTTTGTCATTTCCCCGAAAAAATCTTAATCTCTTCCTCGGATGTAAATTAGATGCGACGTCGTTTACATGTACATTT